CCCCAAAACCCCAAAACCCCAAAACCCCAAAACCCCTTAATTATAATGAATTATTGAACTAATTATTTTCCTTGGTATGCTATTCTTTTCATAACTTGTTGTACCTGAGCTATTGGGTCCTTTTTCTGAGTTCTTGATTTGTTATTACCCATCTAAAGGTGTAAATAATTTATGAATAGTTGATGAAATTGAGATATACTTACACTAAGGTCATTATTGGTGTCATCATGATCATTCAAGAGCTGGATCCCCATATCTTTCTTCTTTATATAGTTCTTTGTGATGATTCTGTTGATCTCTTTGTAGTTCTCTAAGATCTGGAGTCTTTTTGGATCATCTTTCTACATATCAATGGTAATCTTTAAAACTAGTTTTTGGAAATGGCAGTACAGGTAAAACAAAATGAATAAGAAATTAAAGTTTAAGCTTGAGTGGAAAGAACACATACAAGGAAAGTGGTGAAGCTATTCTTGTTATTAAGATACTGTCTATGAGAATGAGGAACTAGTTTCTCCTTCGATCTAGGCATCTCAACAGGCTTGAGCTTTCTGGTTGTAAGTAATGAGTCTCCCTTCCACATCGACTTTGACTTCTGGAAGTTTTCAAAATTAAGCTCTTTTTCCCTTAAGTAGTACTCTCTTCATAAGAGGAAGTTGTCTTTATCTGCAATTTCATCTCTTGCTTTCATAAAACCTGCAGGTTTGAAGGGAGGGCGTGTGGTCTGAGCAAGGGTGAATTTGCTTGAACTGGTTCTATTAAAATAATTTCCTATGTATAAAGAGAGAATCTCACTTTTTGTTGAAGGATAAAATGTCTTCCTGCCTTGGCTAAGTTTTCTTCTCTTGGAATTACTACAATATGTAGATTTTAATAAATTATCTGTAGATTTCAGGTTGTCTGCTCTTGATTCCCTCGTTTTTCGTTTATGCTTTGGGGCTTCGGGGAATCTAGTAATGAATATTAGTCTTATTCTAAGGCTACCTTTGCCAACATTCCATTATATTTTATTCAACTTTATATGAAAGATGAATCTAATTTAGAACCAGAACATCTCTGATTTCTTAATTTTAAATTCTAAAAATGAAAATAAAATAAAGCTTAAGACAAGATTTGATATAAAAGAGTACCTTTGAAGGAACAAATTCTCTTTAACAATTTTCTCTCTCTTCTTGCTTCTCGTTCTATCAATATCCTTTTTCTCCTTCCAGAGGCCTACAGCTTTATCAGGATCTCTTAAGTGGGTGCTTGAATTTCTACGTATAGTCAACTTAGAAGCTATTTTACCTGATTCTTGCCATGATCTCGCTGCATCTCTTATATCCTTGAGCCTTATTTTGTTGAGTTGGAGTCAAGAGTTTTTGTTCTAGATTACCAAACCTTGAGCCTGCTTTCTTAGCCAAATAATAATATGGAACTCGAATTCTTACCAAATGTATCAATGTCCTCGTTGCCTGTGGTATACATTATTTTAATTTTATAACAATTTCGAAATTTATTTGGGGTTTTGGGGTTTTGGGGTTTTGGGGTTTTGGGG